TGACACCCACCTTGTGACCCCTCCAGGGGTCCTGACCCCCAGGTTTAGAAATGCTGCTTTTAGGGAAAGCAGCCATTTCAATGAGAGAACAAGACTGGAAGCAGAACCTGGAAATGTTGTTTTAGGAGTACATCAATTCCCACAATCCCCAACTGGAAGGGGATTCTGGGAGTTGTAGTCTCAAAAGACCCCTATTGCTAGATTCTGACATGAACACAGTGATGTTGTGTCAGCTTATATTGAGTGTCCCAGTGAAAAGCAAAATTGTCTGTTGTTGTTGTTCATTCGTTCAGTCGTCTCCGACTCTTCGTGACCTCATGGACCAGCCCACACCAGAGCTCCCTGTCGGCCGTTACCACCCCCAGCTCCCTCAAGGTCAGTCCAGTCACTTCAAGGATGCCATCCATCCATCTTGCCCTTGGTCGGCCCCTCTTCCTTTTGCCTTCCACTTTCCCCAGCATAATTGTCTTCTCTAGGCTTTCCTGTCTCCCCATGATGTGACCAAAGTACTTCAACTTTGTCTCTAGTATCTTTCCCTCCAGTGAGCAGTCGGGCTTTATTTCCTGGAGGATGGACTGGTTGGATCTTCTCGCAGTCCAAGGCACTCTCAGAACTTTCCTCCAACACCACAGCTCAAAAGCATCGATCTTCCTTCGCTCAGCCTTCCCTAAGGTCCAGCTCTCACATCCGTAGGTTACTACAGGGAATACCATGGCTTTGACTAGGCGGATCTTTGTTGCCAGTCTGATGTCTCTACTCTTTACTATTTTATCGAGATTGGACATTGCTCTCCTCCCAAGAAGTAAGCGTCTTCTGATTTCCTGGCTACAGTCTGCATCTGCAGTAATCTTTGTCTAAAATTGTCTACTGCCTCTTAAATATCCTCAAGTGCATACTTTGGTGAGCATCCAGTATCAGTTCCAGAACTAGAGAAAACTCTCTTGGAGAGACATTGGCAACAGATTGAGCCTTCTTGGGTGGCTACTACCAGTGAATCATATGGATGCAACTAACAGAAAAGGTGGTCTCTAAAATATATAGTCCCTGATTTGCCCTGGGCTTTGCAACCCTTTGCAATCTGCTCCTGAAAAACTGTATAAATACAACACTGGCATTCAATATATTATGGAATATTAACATCAGGATTGTCCACACCATAAGATTTCCAGCATCTAGGCATAGTTGTGAAAGCTGGAGAGTGAACCAAGCTGATAGGGAGAGTCAATGCATTCGAAACATAGAGCTGGAAGATAGTCTTGCAGATCCTGTGGACTACCAAAACCCACCAATGAATGGGTTCTCAAGTGAACCAAACCTGAACCCTCCCTAGAAACCAAGAAGACTCAAATGTAGGTTTTGTGCTTTGGACATTATTTTTGTCAGCCTTTATTTATACAGTGCCATCACTGTGTTGTTAATGGCTTTCACAAAACCCGGAGTCACTGTGAGTTTTCTGGACTGTCTGGCCATTTTTCCAGAAGCATTCTCTCCTGACATTTCGCCTGCATTTATGGCAGGCATCTTCAGAGGTTGTGAAGTCTGTTGGAAACTAGACAAGTGGGGTTTATACATCTGTGGAATGTCCAGGGTGGGAGAAAAAACTCTAGTCTGCTTGAGGCAAGTGTAAATATTGCAATTGATGGTCTTAATTAGCCATCTTGAGTCACCATCAGGCTGAGAAAGGTCGCATAGAAATGCAGTAAATACATAAATAAATAGCATTGAATAGCCCTGCAGCTTCAAAGTTTGACTGCTTCCTGCCTGGGGGAATCTTTTGTTGGGAGTTAAATCAGTCATAGCAGAGCATTTGATGAATCAACCTGGACACAGCATAATATTTAAGAACACAGAAATGGTGGACCACTCTAACAACCATGATGTCAGACTGCACAGGAAAAGCCATTGAAATCAACAAGCACGTGGACAATTTCAAAAGAAAGGAGGAAACCACGAAAATGAACAAAATCTGGCTACCAGTATTTTTTTTAAAAAAACCCCCGCTAAAATAGAGTAAATAAAGAGCAACACTCAAAAAACAAGGGAATTCCAGACAAGAAACAATCAGAGCTAGCTAACACCTCCCAACAAAAAAAAAAAATCCCCCAGGCAGGAAGCAGCCAGGCTCTGAAACTGCAAGGCCATTCAATGCTAATCAAGGAGGGTAATTGCAACATTCACACTTGCCTCAAGCAGACAAGCGTTCTTTCTCCAACCCTGGACATCATTCCACAGATATACTTGCCTACCCTCTGAAGAAGCCTGCCACAGATATGGGTAAAATGTCAGGAGAGAATGCTTCTGGAACATGGCCATACAGTCCAGAAAACTAACAGCAACTCAATGCCATTACAAGTAAACAGAGAAAACCATTCTGTGCCTTTTGATTCTGTATGAGGCAGCACACAAATGCAACAAATAATAAAACATGGCCATATAGCCCGGAAACCACACAACACTCCAAATAAACAAATAAGTTTGCAATCTAACTAATCAAGCTTGGCAAGGTGGAAGGCAACCAAGACAAGGGAATAGACTTAACCAAGAAAGCCACAGGCTTGAGTTTGCAAGACCTGAGCAGTGGACTCTCATTCATAGGGTTGTCTTAAGCTGAAGTTGACTTATCAGCAATGAATCACAACACTACAGAGGTGAATAGATGCAACACAGTCCTGAATTTGCAAGACCTGAGCAGTGGACTCTCATTCATAGGGTTGCCATAAGCTGAAGTTGACTTGTCAGCAATGAATCACAACACTACAGAGGTGAATAGATGAAACACAGTCCTGAGTTTGCAAGACCTGAGCAGAGGACTCTCATTCATAGGGGTGCATAAAAAGAAGGTTTCTCATTCATAGGGATGACATAAGCTGAAGTTGACTTCTCACCAATGAGCTGAAGAGATTCAAGACAGTCCTGAGTTTGCAAGACCTGAGCAATGGACTTGAATTCATAGGGGTGCCTAAATGGAAGGTTTCTCATCCATAGGAATGCCATAAGCTCAGGTTGACTTGTCACCAATGAATCACACCACTACAGAGGTGAATAGATTCAACACATAGTCCTGAGTTTGCAAGACCTGAGCAGAGGACTCTCAATCATATGGATGCCATAAACCGAAGGTCTGTCATTCACCATAAATGACAGACCTTCGGTTGCCATAAATTGAAGTTGATTTGTCAGCAATGAATCACACCACTACAGAGGTGAATAGATACAACACATAGTCCTGAGTTTGTAAGACCTGAGCAGAGGACTCTCAATCATATGGATGCCATAAACCGAAGGTCTGTCATTCACAGAGGGTTGCCATAAATTGAAGTTGACTTGTCAGCAATGAATCACACCACTACAGAGGCAAACAAATTCAACACATAGTCCTGAGTTTGCAAGACCTGAGCAGAGGACTCTCATTCATAGGGATGCCATAAATGAAAGCTCTCATACATAGGGATGCCGTAAACTGAAGTTGACTTGTCAGTCATGAATCACAACACTACAGAAGTGAATAGATTCAACATAATCTTGAGTTTGCAAGACCTGAGCAGTGGACTCTCATTCATAGGGGTGCCATAAACAAAAGGACTCTCTCATACATAGGGATACCGTAAACTGAAGTTGACTTGTTAGCAATGAATCACAACACTACAGAAGTGAATAGATTCAACATAATCTTGAGTTTGCAAGACCTGAGCAGTGGACTCTCATTCATAGGTATGCCATAAACTGAAGGACTGTCAGTTTATCATAGAGTAGCCATAAATTGAAGTTGACTTGTCAGCAATCAATCACAACACTATAGAGATGAATAGATTCAACACTGTCCTGAGTTTGCAAGACCTGAGCAGTGGACTCTCATTCATAGGCATGCCATAAACAGAAGGTCTGTCAATCATAGAGTAGCCATAAATTGAAGTTGACTTGTCAGCAATGAATCACAACACTACAGAAGTGAACATAATCCTGAATTTGCAAGACCTGAGCAGAGGACTCTTTCATTAGGGATGCCATAAACTGAAGGTCTCTCATTAATAGGGATGCCTTAAGCTGAGGCTGATTTGTCAGGAATGAATCACAACACTACAGAGGTGAATAGATTCAACACAGTCCTGAGTTTGCAAAACCTGAGGCAGGGCTGTTGATAACAGGGAAAGGTGGAGATCTTTCATTCATGAGGACATCATAAGCCAAAGCTGACTTGGCATTGATAAACCACAAGGCAACATTGGGGCAATGCCTGCCCACCTTATATGGGAACCATATGGAAATGCACATCAAATGCTCTCTGCCTCTTAGAAAGCCATGGATGGAAGTGGCAGAGATGATCATCACGGCCATCGCCACCTCCTTAATTTGATAACAAACTCACGAGATAAGGCGCCTTATCTCCCCAGCCTCTTTCCGCTCTGCGCCTCCTTGGTTGGCATGCTCAGTGGAAAAAGGGCACCTCCTCATCATCTCGCAAATGCCAGATGGACTTCACAGTGTCCTCAACACCAGCTCTGCCCCCATCTTTCCCAGATTTGGCACCTCCTTGCCACTAAAAACCCTTTGCCTTTTCCTTTGGCACCAAAGAAAATATTGCCCTCCACATGCGGGCACACACAACCCAGCACCAAAACATAAACAGGCATTTTTTGGAGGGTTGAAAGCAATTCTTATTCCAAGGTTGGATGGCAGCAACTCATCCACTTTGTGTTTACTCCGAAAGAGGGTCCTTTAAGAAAAAGCAAACCTACGCAGCAGCAAACCCAAAACAAGCTGTTTAAAAACCCCACAAACACACTTTGCCTGTTATACAAGAGGGGAGAATTTGGAAGTAAGCAAAGGAGAAGGATTATACAAGAAGGGAGATGCGGAGAAGAAGTCCAAGAGGAGAACAACAAGGAAGGGGAAGATCAAAGTCAAAACCAAGAGATGCATCCTTTTGCTGAAGACAGGAGGGGGAAAATAGCCAAAGAAACAAACCCACAAGTAAATGCATGAACTCCGAAGAGCCTTACCTGACCATCTCGAAAGCAGCAGTGGTACCCAGAAGCAAATCAGCAGACCTTTGGAATAAATGCCCGGAGCAGCGTCCATGTTCATCTGCTACTGAAGAGGAACCAGGAGAGAAGAAGAGAGGGGCAGAGAAAGAGAGAGAGAGAAAAGAGTTGCATGAAAACAGAAGAAAGGAGAGAGGGCTGTTTTGTGTAAGGCAGGCTCTCTTCTCTTTTTTGCAGTGTGAAGGGCAGATGAATCAGGGGAAGGAGGGAGGGAGAGGAGGCGAAGCACACACATGCATACGACATCACAAGTCCATCCCCAAAATGAGGAAGCCAGCCCCACTTGGCTTCCTCTGTCAACATAGGAAGAAAAGAAGAAGAGGAAGAGGGGAAAAAATCAGAAGGAGGGGGAGAAGAAGAAGAAAGGGGGAGGAGGGGAAGAAAGAAAGAAAGAAGCCGCCAAGCCCTGCCCCAACCTATTTTTACCAGCTGATGAATCAGAAGTTTGCCACCCTTCCTTCCCTTTCAGATAAGGAAAAGCTTGCAAATGAGATATATTTTCTTTTTCAAAAGGAGGGGGTGGCATTTGTATGTGTGTGTGTGTTTGAATGGAGTGGGGGAGAGAACAGCACATGATGCATTGGCCAAGTCTGCAACACCCTTGAGCATGTCTGGCAAGACACGTACACAAACACAGGAAGAGAGAGAGAACGAGAGAGAGAGAGATTGGTGCCCACTCACCTGGCAGAACATTGATGCGCAGCGCATAGATTTGTTGGCATACACTCTGGGGAGTTTCAGGGGAGACTAATGATAGCCAAAGGGGGGTTGCAGAGAGGCTGGGATCAAGGTCCTTGGGTTCAGTCACTCACATGCTAAACCCAGGGAGGGGAAGGAGTGATGCCCCTTTCCTGTTCCTTCTTTGTATTTCTCTTGCAGGAGAATCTCTTCCAAGGAAGGCAAAAAGGCACCAGGCGGGCCAAGCCTGGCAGTTTCTCTTCTCCAGAGCAAACTGGGGGGAGGAAAGAGAGGGGACGGATCTTTCTTCTTCTCCCCCAGTCCCTCTTTTCTTCCTCTTCCAGAAGAAATCTTCTCCAAGACAGTGCCAAAGAATGCCAAGGCAAGCTTCTGTTCCTTCTTGGTATTTCTCTTGCAGGAAAATCTTCCCCAGGGAAGCCAAAAAAGCACCAGGAGGGGCAAGCCTAGCAGCTTCCCTCCTCTAGAGCAAAATGAGGGGAGAGAAAAAAGGAAGAAGGGTCTTTATTCTCCTCCACCAGTTCCTTTTTCTTACTCTTCCAGGAGAAACCTTCCCCAAGAAAGTGTCAAAGAGTGCCAAGGCACAAGCTCTCCAAGCCAAAAGTAGAAAGGGGGGGAGAAGGAAAGGTCTTCTTTTATGATCTTGCAGAAGAAATCTTCCCCAAGGAAGCAGAGAGGATGCCAAGCGTACCAAGGCAAGCTCTCTAAGTTGGGGGGGGGGGGGGGGAGGAGGAAAGGTCTTCTCTTATTATTAGTCCCCCTTTCTTCTTCCTCTTGTAGGAGTGGAAATCTTTCCCAAGGAAATAGAGAGGGTGCCAGGCGTGCCAAGGCAAGCAAGGTGCCAGGCGTGCCAAGGCAAGGGGGGGGGGGAGAGAGAGCGAGAGAAGGAGGAAAGAGAGAGGAGGAAAGAGAGAGAGAAGGAGGAAAGATTTCTTATGACCAGTCTCCTTTACTTCTTCCTCTTGCAGAAGGAGAAATCTTCCCCAAGGAAGCAGCAGAGAGGATGCTAGGAGTGCCAAGGCAAGTTCTCCAAGTGGGGGGAAAAGAGAAGGAGGAAAGGTCTTCTCTTATGATCGGTCCCCTTTACTTCTTCCTCTTGCAGGAGAGGAAATCTTCCCCTAGGGAGCAGAGAGGGTGCCAGGTGTACCAGCCTGGGTACTAGCTTTCTCCTTCGGGGAGAAAAGGAAGGGGCAGAAGGAAAGGTTTTCTCCAGCAGTGCCCTCTACTTCCTCCTCTTCCACGCAGAGGTCTTCTTCTTCTTGCCCAAGGAAGCAGAGAGTATGTGAGGCGTACCAGCCTGGGTACTAGGTTGCTCCTGCGGGGAGAAAACAAAGAGGCAGAGGGAAGAGTCTTCTCCAGCAGGAACCTCTTCCAAGCAGAGGTCTTCTTGCCCAAGGAAGCAGAGGAGGTGCCAAAGGTGCCAAGGCTAAGTCAGCCTGGGCAGCTTCCTCCTCTGGAGCAAAACGTGGGGAGAAAAGAAAGGGGTAAAGGAAGGGTCTTCTCCAGTACTGCCCTCTTCTTCCTCCTCCTCCAAGGAGAGGTCTTCTTCTTGCCCAAGGAAGCAGAGGAGGTGCCAAGGGTGTCTTCTCCTTCCTTCTCCTCCAAGGAGAGGTCTTCTTCTTGCCCAAGGAAACAGAGGAGGTGCCAAGGGTGTCTTCTCCTTCCTTCTCCTCCAAGGAGAGGTCTTCTTCTTGCCCAAGGAAGCAAAGGAGGTGCCAAGGGTGTCTTCTTCTTTCCTTCTCCTCCAAGGAGAGGTTTTCTTCTTGCCCAAGGAAGCAAAGGAGGTGCCAAAGGTGTCTTCTCCTTCCTTCTCCTCCAAGGAGAGGTCTTCTTCTTGCCAAAGGAAACAGAGGAGGTGCCAAGGGTGTCTTCTCCTTCCTTCTCCTCCAAGGAGAGGTCTTCTTCTTGCCCAAGGAAGCAAAGGAGGTGCCAAGGGTGTCTTCTCCTTCCTTCTCCTCCAAGGAGAGGTCTTCTTCTTGCCCAAGGAAGCAAAGGAGGTGCCAAGGGTGTCTTCTCCTTCCTTCTCCTCCAAGGAGAGGTCTTCTTCTTGCCCAAGGAAGCAAAGGAGGTGCCAAGGGTTTCTTCTCCTTCCTTCTCTTCCAAGGATAGGTCTTCTTCTTGCCCAAGGAAGCAAAGGAGGTGCCAAAGGTGTGTTCTCCTTCCTTCTCCTCCAAGGAGAGGTCTTCTTCTTGCCTAAGGAAGCAGAGGAGGTGCCAAGAGTGTCTTCTCCCTCTCTCTCCTTTCTCCTTCCTTCTCCTCCAAGGAGAGGTCTTCTTCTTGCCAAAGGAAACAGAGGAGGTGCCAAGGGTGTCTTCTCCTTCCTTCTCCTCCAAGGAGAGGTCTTCTTCTTGCCCAAGGAAGCAGAGGAGGTGCCAAGGGTGCCTGGGTCAAGTGTCCCTCCTGGCAGGCTCTCTTCCACCGAAGGAGAGGGCAATCAAGGGGGGCAGAAGGGTCTCTTCACCTCGGTGCCCCCCCCCCCCCGGGTCCGGTGCCCTCCCGCGTCTCTCTCTTCAGCCTCCCGCCTTCCTCTCGGGCTCCTCGCCCTCTCTCCCCCCTCCGCCGTTGCCTAGCATTGAGGGGCCTCCGGCTTTCTTTTCACAATGTGCCACTTCAGGGGGAAAGAAAGGGGGGTGTTCTTTTTTTGGGGTCGGGGTAGGGGAGGCCTGCCCAGCGTCCTCCCCAGCGGGAGACCGAGCCCAAGCTTTTCCCCAGCCGCTTTGGCGAGTTTGCTGGACCCGAGAGAAGGGAGGAAGAGAAGGGAAGAAGAATCTCTTCCAAAGCAGGGGGATGTGTGAGTCTTGTGGTCGGGCCGGCTTGCTGTCCTCTCCCTCCCGGGCAACTTGTTTTGTTTGGGAGGCTTCTCTCTTTCTTTCTTTCTCTCTTTCTGTCTGTCTTCCTTTCTTTTTGGTAAGGTCACCCCTGCCTGCCTGGCATCAGCCGCACATGGGAGGGGGGGCCTTAAGGTGGGCTGGAAAGGATAGAGGGATGGATGGAGGGATGGATAGATGGGGACAAGGGGGGAAAACGCCCCCGCCTTGGTGGCTCTCCTGCTTTTAGGAGGAAGGGAGGGAGGAAAGAGAAGGAGGTGAGAGGGAGGCAAGAAGAAAGGAGGGAGGAAAGGAGGAGAAAGAGCAGGAGGAGGGGAGGAGGAAAGAAAAGAGAGAAAGGAAGGAGGAGGGGAAAGGAGGGAAGAGGAGGAAAGAAGGAGAAGGAAAAGAAGGGGAAAGGCAAGGAGGGAAAGGAGGAGGTGGAGCAGGAAAAGCAGGCAGAAAAGAGGGAGGAGGAAAAGAAGGAGGAAGAGGAAAAAGGAGGAGGAAGAAATAGAGGAAGGAAAGGAAGGAGGAACATAGGGTGAAGGAGGAAGAATACGAAGAGGAAAAGAAGGAGGCATAGAAGAAAAAGGAGGGAAAGGAGAAAAAGGAGGAGAGAAAAGAGGAAGGAAAAAGAGGAGGGAAAGGAAGGAGGAAAAGAAGGAGGCAGAGCAGAAGGTGGAGGAGGAGGAAAGGAGGGGGCATAGAAGAAAAAAGGAGGGAAACAAGGAAAAGAAGAGGAGAAAATGAGATGGGAGAGTTACCAAAAAGGAAAGGGGAATGGGGACAAGTAGAAAGGAGGAAAAGAAGATGATGAAATAGAAAGAGGAGGAGAGAAAAAAAGGAGAAGGAGGTGATGAAAAGGGGGGATAAGGAGGAAGAGAGAAACAGGGGAAAGGAGGAGGAAAGGAGGGGAAGAAGAGCAAAAGGAAATGGAATAAAAAGGAAAACAGGAAAAGTAGGAGGAGGAAAAGAAGGAGGAAAATGGGGACATAGAGCAGAATAGAGGGGGGAGAAGAAAAGAAGGCGGAAGAAAAAAAGAAGGAGGAAGAAATAAAGGAGGGAAAGGAAGGAGGAAAAGAAGGCAGAGCATAGGGTGAAGGAGGAGGAAAAGAAGGAGGCATAGAAGAAAAAAGAGAGAAAGGAGGGATGAAAAGAGGGAGGAAAAAGAGAAAAGAAGGCGGAAGAGAAAAAAGAGGAGGAAGGAAAAGAGGAGGGAAAGGAAGGAGGAAAAAAAGGCAGAGCAGAGGGTGAAGGAGGAGGAATAGGAGAAGAGGAGGCATAGAAGAAAAAGGAGGGAAAGGAGGGGAGAAAAGAGGGAGGAGAAAGAGGAGGAAAAGAAGGCGGAAGAGAAAAAAGAGGAGGAATGAAAAAGAGGAGGGAAAAGAAGGAGGAAAGGAAGGCAGAGCAGAGGGTGAAGGAAGAGGAATACTAGGAGGAAAAGAAGGCGGCATAGAAGGAAAAGGAGGAAAAGGAGGGGAGAAAAGAGGGAGGAGAAAGAGGAGGAAAAGAAGGTGGAAGAGAAAAAAAACGAGGAAGGAATAGAGGAGGGGAAGGAAGGAGGAAAAGAAGGAAGCAGAGCAGAAGGTGGAGGAGGAGGAAAAGGAGGAGACATAGAAGAAAAAGGAGGGAAAGAAGGAAAAGAAGGGGAGAAAATGAGATTGGAGAGTTACCAAAAAGGAAGAGGGAATGGGGACAAGTAGAAGGATGGATGCAAGATCAAAAAAAGGAGGAAAAAATGGAGGTAATGAGAGATAGGAACAGAAAGAAGGGGAATTAAGAGAAAAAGCAACAGAAGATAAACAAGGAAGGAAGAAAACAGGAGGGAGGAGGACCAGGAAGAAGAGGAACAGAGGGAGGAAGAGGATAAAGAAAGAAGAGAAGGGACTGAAAAGAAGAAGGAGAATTTTATGTGCGTGTACACACTTCATTCAGTTGGACACAGCTGAGCATATTGAAGAAAAAGTTCTCTCTGGAGACAACGCGGGGCAGCCAGTGGCCTCGGTGTCAGGCCTGAAGTTCAAGGCTAGAGAGCTAAGAGAGCACTTTGGAGAGATTCTTTGCAACCCATTGTAATGTCGATCCCAGTTCCCTTGTATGAGTAGGCACACCCCTCTTCCAACTCTGGTCCCCCCCCCCCAATAGAAAAAGTGCATCCAGGTTTATACCCCCTGACCTCCACCTCTCTTGCTCTCTCTTGGCAGATGCACAGGGCTGAGAAAAGCTTCCTCGAAAGCCAAGGCAAACCCTGTCTGGGGACTGCGCAGCAGGCGAGGAAGGCAGGCAGGCAGGAGATAGGATGCTTTGGGCAGGAAATAAACAGGAAAGGATTTCATGGGCGAAGTGAGGGGGAGAGGAACCCAGACAGAGAGAGGGAAATCATCCCAGATGGTTATGATTTATTACTCATCCTCCTCCAGAAAAACAAGGCAGGTGGGTGGGTTTACCTCAAAGCGCGGGATTGTAAGCCTGTGAGCTGAAAGGGCCCCCAAAGCATCAGATCCTGGCTGATTGTGGAATCTAAACTGGACTGGATGGGAGACCACCATGGAAGAGCTGCAGGCTCTATTTCAGAGGAAGGACTGGCAAAACCACTTTGCAGTGTATTGTTGAAAGCTTTCATGGCCAGAATCACTGGGTTGTTGTAGGTTTTTTTTGGCCTATACAGCCATGTTCTAGAGCAGTGTTTCTCAACCTGGGGGTTGGGACCCCTGGAGGGGTCGGGAGGGGGTGTCAGAGGGGTCACCAAAGACCACCAGAAAACACAGTATTTTCTGTTGGTCATGGAGGTTCTGTGTGGGAAGTTTGGCCCAATTCAATCGTTGTTAGGGTTCAGAATGCTCTTTGATTGTAGGTGAACTATAAATCCCAGCAACTACAACTCCC